ATGTTAAATGGAGTGGTCAGGACAGACCTCACTGAGAAGCTGAGAACGGAGCACACTCACCGCAGGAGAAAAGGGAGTTGGCCAACAGGCTACCTAGGGGAGGACACTGGCGTGGACAGCTCCTCACTTCCATCGAAGCAGAAAGAACAGCTAGAACCAAGGCCTCAAAGCAAAGGAACACATAACATATTCAAGAAATAGCAGCGGGGCTCATGTGGCTGAAAGGGGGAAACTGAAGGGAAGAGTGGAACGGAGAAGGTCAGAGAGACAGCGGGGCCAGATCCTGCATGGCCTTATGGGTCATTGCAAGGTCTTTGGCTTTTCCTCCGAGTAAAATTAGGAGCCACTGTCGGGTTTTGAGCATAGAAGTGATGTGGTCTCACTTATATTCTTTTTTTTTTCTTTTTTTTGAGACGGAGTCTCGCTCTGTTGCCAGGCTGGAGTGCCGTGGCACAATCTCGGCTCGCTGCAACCTTTGCCTCCTGGGTTCAAGCGATTCTCCTGCTTCAGCCTCCCAAGTAGCTGGGACTACAGGCTCGCGCCACCACGCCCAACTAATTTTTATATTTTTAGTAGAGATGGGTTTCACCACGTTGGCCAGGATGGTCTCAATCTCTTGACCTCATAATCTGCCTGCCTCGGCCTCCCAAAGTGCTGGGATTACAGGCATGAGTCGCCGCACTCCCCCTCACTCGCTCCTGTATTGTTAAAGGATTACTCTAGATGTCATGCTGAAGAGCGTTTTACAGTCCTTCAGGCAAGAAATGATAGCTCAAATCAAAGGGTGTCAGAGGAAGTGCAGTAATAAGTTGGATTGTGGGTATATTTTGAAGGTAGAGACAATAGGATTTCTCATGGTTTCAACATGTGGTGTGAGAGAAATAGAAAGGTCAAGCATGACTCAGATTTTGGGCCTAGCCAACAAGGCAACAAGGAGTGGCGACCTAATGGGGAAGCCCATAGGTAGAAGACATGTTGTTCCTATAGAACAGAAGTTCAGTTTGGGGCATGTTGAGTTTGAGCTATCTATCAGACATTGAAGTGGAGATGTGGAATAGGCTGTTGGCTATATTAACTTGGAGTTCCAGATGGAGCTCTGGGCTGGAGCAATAAATTTAGAAGTCTTTATCATATAGATGGAATTTAAAGTAGCCAGACTGGATGACATCACCAAGGGAGTGAGTGCAGAGAGAGAAGAGGAAAAAAGACTGAGTCCCCGGGTCCTGCAACATCAGCAGTCAGAAAAAAATGAATAACAAGAAAAGGAAGCTGGGAAAGAACAGCTATCAAGGGAGGAAAAACACAATGAGAACATGGTGACCTGGCAGCCACATGAAGGATATCCAGAAGGAACGAGCAACTGTATCCTGTGTTGTTGATAGGCCAAGAAAGACAAGGATAAACAGTGTACTATTGTACTGAGCAACAAGGGGGTCATTGACAAGGGTAAGGGCAGTTTCTATGGAGTCATGGGGGTAAAAGCCTGATTGAATTGAGCCATAAGGGCAAGGGGAAATTTAAGATAGCCTAGAGAGACAATTCTTTTAAAGAGTTTTGCTGTTAAAGAAAGGAAACAGACCCGGTGTGGTAGCTCACACTTGTAATCCCAGTACTTTGAAAGGCCAAGGAGGGCAGATCACTTGTCGTCAGGAGTTCAAGACCTGCCTGGCCACCATGGTGAAACCCCATCTCTAACACGAAAAGTAGCCGGGTGTGGCGGTGTGCACCTGTAATCCCAGCTACTCAGAAGGTTGAGGCAGAAGAATTGCTTGAACCCAGGAGATACAGGTTGCAGTGAGCTGAGATTGCACCACTGCACTCCAGCCTAGGTAACAGAGGAAGACCCTGTCTCAAAGAAAAGGAAAGAAATGTAGTAGTAGCTGGTGAAGGACTGGGGTTCAGAGAAATTTTTCTTTTTTTCAAATTAGAGAATCAATAGTATGTTTGTATGTTAATGGCAATAATCTAGTGATGATCAAAAATGATTATATAGAGAAACAGGGAAGAATTATTGGAATAATGTCCTTGAGTTGAGGATAGGAGATGGGTTCTAGTGCATAGAGAATGCGTTAGTGCAACAGTATAGATTATTCTTCCATACTTAGCAGGAGGGAAGAGTATGAAAGTGCAAATACCTGAAGGCGGATAGATGTGTTAGTGGGAATCTGTGGAAGTTATAAGGGATTTCAATAAGGAAAAAACAAAAGGAACACATAACAAAAGTTTAGAAATCAGAATGGCTTTGGATTTCTCAATGGCAACACTAGAGTCCAGCAGACAAGGGGGCCAAGGCCTTAAACACCTAAGGGAAGATAGCCTGTAACCCAAGAATTCTACACTTAGCCAAACTATTATTAAGTGAGGGTAGGTTAAATGCATTTTCAAACATAGAAGTTGTGCTAGATATCTTGTTTGCCTCTCGAGATCCTTCTCTATTCCTACCTGTGCTCAGGGAGCTAGACCTGTACGGATTGCTTCACTTGGGTCTCCTGCCCTCTGGCTTCTGGTTGGCTTTGGTCAAAGAGCGGCATTGGTAGGAGACCCTGGAGCAGAAAGAAAGATGGATACTGTGTTCCTTTACTGAAGACTATAGATCTTGGTGGGCTACCCTTTCCTACAAGCTGCATCTCTCTCCAGATTCTAGTAAACACCCCTTCCTCTCTCCCTTTCAGGCCTAAGGCTTCCTGCTGCTACTAGTCCTACCTCTTCACACTGTTCACATCTTTGTAAACAGTCCCTTCATTAAGCCTTCTTCTAGCACCCCCTTAAGAATACCATTTTTCCTCTGGTTGACCTTGACTGGATACACAGGTCTCCAAAGACTTACCCATGTACCGTTTTTTCATAAAATTATTGGAGGAAGTCCTCCACTAAAACGAGAAGAAAGAAGATTGAGGCAAACACTTGAAAAATAGTGAAAGATCACAGGATGGCAGCAGTGTATTCAGTTTCAGAATAACCAACTCAGATTGGAGCAGGCCAGAAGGTTCTTCAAGGTGTCTCTAAGAAGGTAAAATTGTTAGAATACCTAACAAGGAGTTTTACACAGCTGGGACAGGAATTTGAAACTCAACTAAAGACATGGAAATCTAAGCAAATGAAAAATAACATGGTTTTTACTTTTAGATGTAAGAAAAAAATAAGCAATAAAGAAAAAGCAATCATAGTATAGAAAATAGCTCAATTATAAAACAGCATTTATGCAACAAAAATTCCAAGGCACTGCTGAATTATTCCTTTTATAGACTTCCTCATAATATATAACTTCCCTATTTTTGTAATGTAGAGGTTTTCGCAGAGGGTATTTACCAGAACTGCATCTGAAATTACCAGGACATTTATTTTAACATGATTTGACTAGGTCAATTTACAGACTAGATAGTAAAAATCTCAGCTTATCTATAAACTTCTGATGTGTGTGACCTGGGGTAGGTTACTTGATTTTGCTGACCCTTACAAAGTGCGAGGATTGCAAATCACAACAAGCAGAGTGCCTGGTACATGGTAGGCATTTACAAACGACCAATTTTGTCAGCCACCTTAATGGAAGGAATGCTGGATAGGGATATTATAAAACCACAAGGAATACAACTTTGACTTAAATTTAGGTGGGTAGTTGATCATCGGGAAGTCATGAGGTGTTAGAAGCCTGACACTATTATAAAAGTAAATACTTCTCAGACTAAGCAAGTATGATACGGAACTGACAACTCTGTAAATAAACAAAATTGAGGGGAAAATGCTCTGAGGAAGAAGATGACTGAATACAGTACAGAGTAAACTGGCTTTCAGAAGGGCCAAGCAGTATACAGCTCTCCTTTAGAATGGTGACATAAAGACTCAGCTTCTCCTGGGGGTCTCCATCCTGCTTGGTGCCACAGAGCGTGTAGGGCCACTGGGCAGGGTTCTGGTTCCTTTCCTAACTATATAAACAACAAAATCAAAAGTTTTATTTTATTTATTTATTTACTTATTTATTTAGTGACAGGGTCTTCCTCTGTCACCCAGGCTAGATTGCAGTGGTGTGATCGCAGTTCACTGCAGCCTTGACCTCCTGGGCTCAGGTGATCCTCCCACCTCAGCCTCCCAAGTAGCTGGAACTATAGGCACACACCGCAACGCCTGGCTAATTTTTTGTACTTTTTTTTGTAAAGCCGAGGTTTCACCATGTTGCCCAGGCTGATCTCGAACTCCTGGGCTTAAGCAATCTGCCCGCCTCGACCTCCCAAAGTGCTGGCATTACGGGCGATAAACAAAGCATTTTAGCTGCAAAAGTTCTTTGGGCCCATCACTTCTAGAGATTGGTCAAATACTAATGGTTTGAAAGGTAAAGAAAGTCATTGATAACAATTAACATGCGGTGAACACTTAAGATTTGCCAATCGTTTATTCTACGCCATTTTACGTGAATCATCCCGTTTAATCTTCACAACTCTAGGTCCTTTTACCTCATTTGACAGATAAGGAAACTGAGACTCACGGAGGCTAAGTAAATTGTCTAAGATTACATAGCCAGTAAACTGGTAGAGCTAGACCTGAACTCAGATTTGCCAGCTTCCAAAGCCTTCCAGACTTCTAACTGTAATGCTAATATAGAGCAAATAGTCTTTAGCTGTGGATTTTCTCACTAGCATAACAGCATTGATCAGGCCATATATTAGCAAGTGATTTTTCAAATATGAAGTGATAATGTACAAAGGCCAGACAATTTTAAGCAAATGCTTTTCCAGGTGTACTAGGATAGAGCCTTAAAACCACTGACTCTTTTTAACGTGGAGTTCAGATATTCAAATACGTTTACCCAGTAAAGTTCTCATAGAAAAGGAGTTCTTTCAGGGGTAGGATAGGTCCATCCACGTATTCCCCAGTGCCAACTGTGCTCGATGTGGTACGTGTGGAATAAATGTCTGGTGACCGGTTAGAGGACCCGAGTAGTGGGTCTTTTCAAATCTCACATGAAGGATCTCATACAAAAACATCAAGAAGAATTAAAACAAGCCCTGAGAACATTTTTTTAAAATAACAGTCTATTTCCAGGATAAACAATTACTTTGTCGCGCCGCTCCATAGGGGCTGGGAGACCCTGCTTCTGATGTGGGTCCAGGTTGAGGAACACGTCGCCACTTGAGAACGCAAAAGTCCAGAAATCCGGGACCACAGCAATACTCCAGCCCAGGGTTGCAGAGCAGCCTCTTTACCAGCCGGGCGACCCATTTCTATCTGGGCGCCTGCGAAGCGCCGGTGTGGGCGGGGGACCGCTCGCAGCCAGAACAGTGCGTGGGCCGGCAATGACAGTGCAGCAATTCCGCGCCGGCTGCGGGGTTTGGAGACCTGTCTGAAGGGTGGGAGGGGGCACTGTTTACCTGACACACCCAACCCCGCTGCTGCAGCCCAGCTGCGGATGAGCGGAAGAAAAGCGCTTCAAAACGGGGAGATCAGCCAACTTGAGATGCAGCAGAGCGGCCCGCCACCCGCCCCCAATACCCGCGCACGCGCAGCCCCTCCGCGCTGGCCAGACAGCCGCGCACGCGCAGTCAGTCCTCACTCACTCCTTCAGTCCCGGCCCAGCCCGGGGCCCCGCCCCGCCCCCGCTGGCCCCGCCCCGCTCCCGTGAGCTGAACGCCCCATATCCGGGTTCCCGCCGCCTCCACCGCTGCTGTCTCAGTCGCTTCGCACATTTAGTCTTGCCGGGAGTGGTGTGGTTCCCGACCAAGATGGCGGCAGTGGGGCGAGTCGGCTCCTTCGGTTCTTCTCCGCCAGGATTAGGCTCGACTTACACTAGCGGCCCCTTGGCCAACGAGATAGCGACGGGCAACGGTGGCGCCGCGGCGGGCGACGACGAGGACGGGCAGAACCTTTGGTAACGACCCCACCCCTCCCTCTGCCCCCGCTGGCTTTCCCGGCCTTGCGCGGACGCCTCGGGATTCCGTGCCCGCTGGAGCTCGGCGCCGGGCCCGACCACTCTGTTCCTAGCGGCCCCATCCCCGGCGCGCCGAGACCGGGTCAGTCCCTCCCGCCCTGTGGCTCCGGCCTCCAGCCCCGGCCTCACGGTGCGCCTTGCTCCCCGTTAGGTCCTGCATCCTCAGCGAGGTCTCCACCCGCTCGCGCTCCAAGCTCCCTGCGGGGAAGAACGTGCTACTGCTGGGTAAGTGTTCCCCGCCTTGCCCCGCCCCGCCTGGCCCCCAGCGGCCCGGGGTACCTTGTCCGCCGGCTAGCTCGCTGGCTCTCTTTGTGTGGACAGCCGGCCCCGCCCCGCCTCCCGACCTGTCGCGGACGGCTGGGGTGAAGGGGAACCGGAGACCCTAGACCCGGGACCTGCGGGGACCCGCCCTCCCCCAGGTTCCTCCTCCTCATTCCCGGATATTGGGTGGCCCTGTCAGCCTCCCCTGGGAAGGACAGAATTCGATCCTTCATCTGAGGGATTCTGGTGGCCTAGGGTTTATCTAGAAAATGACAGTTTTTTTTTTTTCATCACAAAAATTGGTAGCAGGAGGCTCTTTGCAAAAGCTCCAGCGCAAATGGCATGTCATTAATATTTAATAGCTGACTCTTTGTATAATTGACTGAGAAGCTAGATCTGAAACCTGGCGATAAATATTCTTGATTCAGCGTTCTCGGGTACAATGTGCTCGTGTTGCGGCTGCCTTAACTGTCACATATAATTCTGAAATTTGTAAAGGGCAGTAGAACACACCTTTCTAGTTAAGCCTCTTCAGCTAAATGGATGTAATAAGGAGAAATGGTCCAGTGTGTCAGTTCTCCTGATTGTTCTGTATCTCCTGGGTTCTCTCTGCAAGATGTGTATTCTGTTTCTTTAGTGACTCTAGTAGTGGGGAGAGAGGACTGGGGGAAAACAGTTCAAAGGTTCACATTTTTGCAGACTTAGCTCCTGAATCATTTATAGGAAAACTGTCTTCCATTTTCTTACATGTGAGATAACTGAAGTTTGGCTTATACAATGATTAAGTTTAAAAACTTTGGTATTTGGTATTGACTCAATAGCAGAGTTTTTTTTTTTTTTTAAAACATTATGTACATCTAAAAACAGGAAAGGAAACGAAGAAGTCAAATGCTACTTGATAGGCTGCATGGTTACATATGAATGTTTACATAGAAATAATTACTTTTTTTGATGGAGTGCTGCCAAGCTAGAATATATGATTATTGATATTCTTTAAAGTCACATGGAACTAGTTGACAAATTAGTTTTTACCCTGGTTTTTAATGTGATTGAAAGCACCTACTGCAGATTAGCCTGGATTGAATTACCACCTTATCGCATACAAGCCCTATGATTTTAAGCAAGTTGCTTGACATCTATACACCTCAGTTTGTTCATCTTTAAAATGGATGTTATAGAAATAATAATACATGCCTCTAGGGTTGTGGGGGGATCAGATGAGATAATGTTTGTATACTGATAATATTGGCAAGTGATAGTTTGTCACGGACTTAAACTGAATTAGAAAATATTTGTGATTAGAACTTTTTAAAAATTGAATTAGTGCCCATATAAGTGATATTAGTAGGGCAAAAATAAATTAGGGTCCAAAAGCAAAAAAAAAAAAAAAATACATACATTTTTAATTTACTAATTTAAACAAATTACTACGAATTATTAAGCTAAAATGGATTTAAGATCATATGACCTCATTGAAGCACATTCTATTTTAATTATTTTAAGACTTATTTTCAAACGCTACCATGGTAAAGGAGAGATTCAGTAGTTTTGTTCTCATTTGATACATTTCCTCCAGTTATTTCTGCACATTAGATATTGCATAGATGATTCTGTTTGTGGTAAAAGTGGCAGTTTTGTCCATTTTTTGGTATACTTAACTTGCGCTGAGATTGTGCCATGTTTTTTTTTGTTTTGTTTTGTTTTTTTAACCCTCCTTTTACACCGGGTCAGTGCTTGGTACTGAGTGTTCTTAGAGGTCCCAGCCTCCTTCATTCCTTCATATTTAGAATAGATTAAATTTCCTTTTTTATGAGCTTAATAGTTCATAAAGTTACATCTAGTATCAGGTAATAAAAGCTTGAAATTTAATATTTTTCTTTCAGTACTATTGGGATTTTCATCAGAGGAAGAAGCTAATAACTGATTTGTATACTGGTTATATAGAGTCAACTTTCTAAAATACCCCTGAAGATTTCTTAAAGACATTTTACCATCACGTATGGCAGCATTCACGCTGTGCTGGTGGAGGAAAGAAAGAAATAGGGATTGTGGTTGTCTTTGTTAGGAGTTTGAAGGTGCCAGGCAGGAGGATGCTTGGCCCTGATATATCATTCATGAATGAAAGTGATCTCTGGAATCTCTTATTTAAAAAACCAAATCTGAGTCCAGGCACGGTGGCCCACACCTGTAATCCTAGCACTTTGGCAGGCTGGGGGGTGGATGGATAGCTTGAGCTCAGGAGTTGGAGACCAGTCTAAGCAATGTGTTGAAACTCTGTCTCTACAAAAAATAAAAATATTAGCTGAGTCTCAGCTACTTGGGAGGCTGAGGTGGGGGGACAGCTTGAGCCCTGGAGGCAGAGGTTGCAGTGAGCTGAGATTGTGCCATTGCACTCCAGCCTGGGTGACAGAGTGAGACCCTGTTTCAAATAATAAATACCGTAAAAACCAAATCTGAGACTATGACAAAGCTTTACATTTTCAGAAACAACCTAGAACAGGAATGATGATACAGACCTAGGTATACATAATCCTGGTCCTGAGCACAGTGCCTGGTTTTATAGCTAGGACTTCAGTATAACTTTTTGATTTGCAGTCAGTGTGAATTAATAAAAAGTAGCTGGTCCTTTGTCAAGTCATTTAAGCCTCATCTTTCTCAACTGTAAATTAGGCTATTTGAATTTGGTGATCTCCAAAGCCTTGTCTGTTCTGACATTTTATAAATTTTCTTATTTTAATCTTGTGAGTTATTGAATATTTTTAAAGAAATATTTTAAGGCATATTGAAGTTGGGTTTATTTAGATGTGGGTCATTTAATTACACCCAGGAAAGAAATGTAAAGTTGCTATCTTGTTCCTTGAAGGTATTAGTTCATGGTAATATGTAGCCAAAGAAGTCCCACAAATGCTGAACACCATCAATAAGTATATGTGAAAGTCTTTTTTTCCCCTTCAGGAATAAAACACTATTATACTTGAGTTATTGCAAGTAGGAAACCTTAAGATACACACAGTGGAATTCAGAGATCTGTTCAGAGAAGTAAATTGTAACTGGCAAGGGAGTGTGTGGTTTTCTGTGTGAGGATTGGTTTTAAAAATAATGAGAATGTTCAGTCTAAAACGATTATGTGAGGAGCTAGGATTAAAGATCATCAAGGTTCCTTGACTTTTTGATGATTTTCAAATAATTAACATGAAATTATTTATTACTTGTTTGTTATATGTTACTCCTACTAAAAATATACCAAATATAAAGTATTTTGAGATTAAGATGGCATATTGGCATCTTATAATAGGATCTGCAAACTCTTCTGTCAAGGGCCAGATTGTAAATAGTTTAGGCTTTGTAAGTCATATGGTCTCTGTAACTACTCAGTTCTGCTCTTGTGGTTCCAAAATATGTAACTGACTGGATACTACCTTGTTTCAATAAAACTTTATTTACAAAAGCAGGCAGGGGGCCAGTGTTGGCCTGTGGCCTGAAGTTTGTGAACCTCTGTTTTAGGTTACTTATTGTATTTTATTTTTTTAGAGATGGTGTCTCGCTTTGTCACCTAGACTGTAGTACACTGGCATGATCATAACTCATTGCAGCCTTGAACTCTTGGGCTCAAGTGATCCCCTGCCTCAGCCTCCTGAGTAACTGGGAATCCAGGCATGTACCACCATGACGGGTAATTTAAAAATTTTGTTATATTTTGCTGGGTGCCGTGGCTCACGCCTGTAATCCCAGCACTTGGGAGACTGAGATGAGCGGATCACAAGGTCAGGAGATTGAGACCATCCTGGCTAACACGGTGAAACCCATTCTCTACTAAAAATACACAAAATCAGCCAAGTGTGGTGGCACATGCCTGTAGTCCCAGCTACTCAGGAGGTTGAGGCAGGAGAATCACTTGAGCGCAGGAGTGGGAGGTTACAGCTAGCCGAGATCACACCACTGCACTCCAGCCTGGGCAACAGAGCAAGCAACAAAACTTTTTAAAAAAAAAAAAAAAAAAAAAAAACTGTTACATTTTTCTGGAGATAGGGTTTTACTATGTTGTCCAGGCTGGTCTTGAACTCCTGGGCTAAGGTGACCCTCCCACCTCAGTCTCCTGAATCATTGGGATTATAGGTGTGACCCACAGTGCCTGGCTATGTTAGGTGATTATTGGCATCAGTTTTATCAGTAAGCACAGATGCCAGTTAATAGAGGTTTCTGGTTAATGGGATATGGTGTTTAGCACATTAATAGGTGCCTAGTGAATTTATGTGTTGAACAAATGATGAACAGCCTTAAAGTAGCATTGTTATTCCAGTTAGGTATAGTTTGAGCACAGGTTTAAGAATTGTTAAGAGGACTCATATAATATTTCCCCCAGTGCTACTGTCAAAAGCAGAAAACAGAACTGGAAAATCACAGATATAGGGTGGTAGAGCAGTAATTCAGCTGGTGTGAAATCCATGTGAGAGAGAATGTCAGCAAAAGCACTTCGAAAATATAAACTAGAAAGGAGTCTTGAAATGGGAAAAGAAAAGTCCAAAATTCAGCATGGGACTCTGCCATAGCCAGGCGTGGTGGCTCAGGCCTATAATTCCGGCACTTGGGGAGGCTGAGACAGGCAGATCACTTGAGGTCAGAAGTTTGAGACTGGCCTAGCCAGCATGGTGAAACCCTGTTTCTACTACAAATAGAAAAATTAGCCAGGTGTGGTGGGCGCCTGTAGTAATCCTAGCTATTTCAGAGGCTGAGGCAGGGAGAATTGTTTGAACCCAGGAGGTAGAGGTTGCAGTGAGCCTATATCGCGCCACTGCACTTCAGCCTGGGTGGCAGCGCAAGACTCGATCCCCAAAAAAAAAGTGACCATGAACTAACCTTTCTGGGCCTTCTTTGCATTATGTGTAGAATCAGGAGAGTGGTTATTAGATCCCACAGATTACCGTTTTATTCTTTTTTTCACCAAACATTTATTAGAGA